AAATGACGGGGTTAGTCCCAGAGAAGATGAGGTCAACTGCGGCTGCAGCCTGGTGCTTGATGACGCACCGCCTTTTTGCTTGCTCATCGACTTCATTAATCTATCGAAGGTTGATGACGCTCCCATCGTTATCCCATCTGACATGGGCCTGGTCGGCGAGGCCGACGACGCCTTCCTGCTCATATCATTCCTTGGGCACGGTGTGAAGTTCACATCCGGATGGGCTATCTCCGGGTAGTCATAACTGGAAGTTAAACCTACAGTTGGTAGTGACGCCACGCGCTCGTCGTACAAAGACTTCCAACTCTTCTTGGCCTTCGAACCCGGTTGTTCTTCACTCGGGCTTATACTCGACATCATCGCGTTGTTGCTCTGCTTGGCCAGAGATGAGTGGGTACTAGCCGAATGTGAGTATTCTCCCCTCCACCTGTGACTCTTGGTCTCCGATTTGGACATTCCCTTGAATAACACTTCCTCTCGCGGCTCGACCTCGGAACGCTCCGAGGTCTCCTCCGTCCTCTCGACTTCCTCCCGCTCGAGGTCCTCGCTCGGCTCAAAGTCGGGTCAAATGAGCGTCTGTTCTCCCTCGTCAAAGGGGTCCACAAGCGTTTCGCTCGCGGTTCCGGCTTCGGCGCTCCGCCTTCGATCGCCATCGAGATTTTTCTCGCTCCTCAATCTCATTTCGCTCACTGAAAGATCAGGTTGACCTTTAGTCGATTCGGTTTCGGTAAACACGTCGGAGGCGCTGCTAAACGAGGACTGGCTACGCCTAGTTTTAAATTTTCACGTGTTGCCCTTGCTCAGCCTGGGAATCTTAGTAGTCAATCCTAACGAATCCCTGCGCTGCATGCTTTGTGACAAAAAACAATATTCGTATGATTTAGTGGCGATGCACACGTACCGCAAACAAGTTCAAGCTAAATTAATTAACGCTGCCTCCTCGATCTCGTAATTATCAAGAGTGTCTCTTAGGTTTCTCAACGACAATCTTAGTGACTCAGTTAGAGTTAAACACACACAGGGCCTGCTCAGTATTGATATAATGCTAACACAACCCTGTCGTATAGTATAACAGTATCACAAAATTTTCGCAAGATATAATCAACACACAAAACACAATAGATAATCAGATAAGAATATCCTACAGGTGACAGCGACCTTTTGTCAGTATCAATTTATCGCCACACATTTTATCAAGTCGCTGCTTTGTTAAAATTAAACAATCTTTGATAAAAAGCAGTGATGACTCAGAAACAGATCAATAAAACTTAGTCTTAAAGAAAAAGACTTCCCCCAATCGGAACGATCCGAAAGAACAAAGCCCAGGACACAGTCTTCTCAAGTGGGTGTGTATTTGCCTAATACACCCACCGAGGTCTTCTTTCAGGTGCCCTGCGATTGCCCGAGCTGTCCTATTAAGTGGCTCAAGGCAACCTCTGATCGAAAATTTCTAAAGTCTATGAAAAAGCTCTCCCACACCCGGACTGCTCCAAGTGCACGAGAGTAGGGAACAACTTTTCTTCTCAAGTGAATGTGTATTCGCCTAATACACTCACCGAGGTATTCCTTTATTTGTTCCCGGATTGCCCGAACTTTCCTATTAAGTAGCTCAAGGCAACCACACAACCAAAATCACAATAAAAAAAATTTTGTTCGGGTACTTCTGATACACCCGATCTAGAATCCAAAGTTGATCACAAATTTCCGGGTCAAAATGGGCTCTTATAATCCTAATGAGCGCCTAATATCCTAATATAATTCTGATTAAATGGGTATTTTCCGTTTCCCAAATTGCCACAGAAGATTTCCTCAAGTTTCTAACAAGGAAGGTTGTTTAGAAGGGATAAGACACTCCGGAGAGTTACTTCGGAGGGTTGTTAAGACACTTAGCCTACTTCGGAGGGTACCTTAATCACCCAAGTCACTTCGGAGGGTCCCCCTAAATTTACTAAGGAGGGTCAATAAGATGCTTAATATGCTCCGGAGGGTTACTTCGGAGGGTACCTCCAAATTTCAAATTTCTGAGCCTCACTTAGAAGGGCCTTCAATTAATTTCAGGAAGCGTCAAAACAAGCTAAATTCTCTATGGGGGGCTGTTTTAACTTCTTTGGATAACCTCGTGGAAGTTTTCCACTAAGGAGGGTTGCTAAGGGCCTTAGCTGACTCTAGAGGGTTACCTCGGAGGGTTCCCCAAAAATCAAGAAAAAAGGTTATGTTACCGCAATAAAGTCTCCAAAAGCGGTCTACCTGACTTAAAACTAGGTTGGCTGACACGGTCAACCTTCCCAGTTGGATAAAAAGGTGTTTTGATAAAATTTTCTGCCGCTCGGAGGGTTACCTGTAGTTTGGACCCTCCGAACCAACAAATTCTAAAAAATTTTTCTTTTCCGAGATTATCAACCCAAAAACGGTTGCGGTCCGAAAAAGTGGTACAAAACGTCGACTTATGGTACCAAAATTATCCCGATCGGTTGGCTAGTCTTTGAGAAACTGCCAAAAAAGTGTTTGTCCAAATGGCCCTTTTTCACCACCTATATAAGTTCTGAGAAACTTTTTCCGCAATTCCTATCGAAAGTGCCTAAAAATAACTGAAACGAGCGTAGTAGCCCTGTACGGCACTGGAATAGTGCAAAAAACCGGATCAAAATTGGTTTGGAGGCAAAAATTTGGCCAATAACTATCGAATTTGGACCCTCCGATTCCTTCCTTTTCCGATCCTTAAGTCGTTAGCTCTATCTACGGAGCTGATCGGTGGGTTACTCAAAAATTTTTCTGGCAGCCGAGCACGTTATGCTAGCACGCTCTTAACACAAAAAATTTTATTGCTCTAACTCTAAAAACTCAAAAACTCGATCCCGAAAACAGATTGACAAAATCCAGAACATTATCGAAATTTTGACCGAAAAATTTTGGTTCTTTCCAACTTTGACTGAGTCTTTTCTCACGCGGTTTCTTTAGTTAGGGGGATCGAACTACGTAGCTACTCCCTATATAAAAGCTTTTTGTTGTTCGGAAAAGCTCGGATATCCAAAAATTTGGGGGTCTACAGTTTGATCGAAAATCGATGATTTTCGACAAAATTGGGTGTTTTTTGGGTCTAATTTAGGAGATAAGTAATATGTAATAAGGTTAATAACCTATTAGTAGTCGTTAATGAATAGTACTATACCCTCTTTTGCACCAAAATACCCGAATTAAGACCCTTAACTCGGAAATTTGTAATCGATGGAGGGTACAATCGGACCGTGCCAATCGTGCCCCCCACCACGTAAGTTTTAATGAAATAGTACCCGAACGATACTAAAATTGATTCAACGATACCCAACAGTCGTTGCGGATGTTGTCCCTGATGTCCCTGTTGAGTGTGGAACACGTTGATCAGCTTGCCACTCTACCCTCCGGTCACCAGCAAAATCACCATTAACGTGTTTAAACACTCAAATTACACTCGAGGGAGGGTACCCAACCCTTCACCAAAACACACAATCTTTCTATCAGAAACGAAATAATTCAATCTGAAACAACAACAAATAGGAAGGTCAGATCACATCTCGTCCGGAAATAATATATAAACTGTCACTTTACATTTTTTACTGTTTTTGGTCTTTTTTGGGTTTTTTACTGTTTTTTGTACTTTTTTGTTTTCAAATAAATTTGTTTTTGGTTTTTTGTTGGTTATACACTATTTCTGTTTGGTTTTACGCTTTCTCTTTAATTGTTTTTGGTCCTGGGACCTCAGGACAAGCGGGCTCTAGATTTCCCACCTAACCCTCCGGCCCCCGGAATTTTCGGTGTTAACTAAGTTAAAAAGCTAAATAGTACTGGACGGAGGGTACGCACCTTCCCCCCAGTACAACAACGGTCATTAAGGCCTCTACCTCGGGCATACGCCCGGAGCGGAGGGTTCGTCGCTGAAACGCTTGCTGATCATGATGGTCTTATGCCTTTGACAGGCCCACCCAGGAGCGCCATAAAAACGTCTATGTAACATTCGCCCAAATACTACACAGCGACGGAGCGTAGAAAAAGTACCTATTAACGACTGGCAGGCGTCAGTTACCTTAATCCTACTCGCTTTTCACCCTCTCGACCTTGCCAGTTGATTTTCTGGTCTGTCTAGGGCAAAGTAAAAAGTTACCATTTTTAGGCCATCAGTCAAACGACTTTTGATCAGCTTTCGTTTACATGTGAACACAACCACATAGCTGAGTCTCGGATCCTCAGACTACGTGATTGTCATTAAAAACACGGCTCAAACAACCTATTTTAATATGTTTTTGTGTGACAGTTCTATATTAAATCCATTGGAGATGGATTGACCCTTTCCTCTTTCTAGCTACTCATATTCTAAAATATCAAGTTACACCGGTGTTAATTTAAAGTTTCACGACATCCAAGTAGCTATACAGTCAGTTTTTTTACAGTCCCTTCACATAAAACAGTCTCTGGGGGACCAAGCCTCCGCTCCCGTGATATTCCTGCGATAACGCTCTTATCTCTTCTAATTTGCGTCCCGGGAGGGTTCCGTGGAATACTCCTTCCCCACTGAAGCTTCCTTCTCCACTAGTATCCGCTGACAAGTGTCTTATCGTGCGTTGTTGCCACGATAAGAGGCTTCGTATTTTCCGTCTCTTGTACGACTAATTTTCACAATATTTGTCGTTGTTCTGATTTTCTCAGCTTTTTTGGTCAAAATGGCCGTCTTTTTGTATTTCTCAGAAATGTCAACTTGAAAATCGAAATTTTAAAAATAAAAATTCCAGAATATTCTGACCCTCCTTTGCAATACTTTTTTGTTAATAAGGCCTTTATTCGTTCTTTTTCATGTCCCCGGAAGGTTGCGCTGTGTCATCTGGCAGAATGGCACACAAGACAATAAGCCTATTGTGGCGTTTGTTTTTACCTATACTGCTTCATCTTTTCATTTAAAAAAACAAAAGGTTAGAAATTATCTCTACACTCATCCTTTATCGTTTCAACCAGTCGACAAAACCCTTGGAATTTAATAAGAGAAGTGTAAAGAAAAGTATAACGTGACGGAAAGTAAAGAAAGTCGAGATGCAAACCATAAGAAAACAGCGTTGAAAGAAACTCAAAAAGATTAACTTGATCAGATAAACTCGGCGACATTAAAAACCCACGATCAAATCGCAAAACCTATCAAATTAAAAGGGTTTAGGAAATCGCGAAATCTTTGATTTTTACAATTTACTTTGCGCCAGTCGCTCATGTTCTATCTTGATTTTGGTGGAAACGGTAATTTGTGAAAAAATCGAATTGGCAATGTCATGCTCAAGTTTATCGCAGCAACTGAAATAAGAAGTCAATAAAATCAGAACACTATATATAATTGCGGGAAAATTGTTCTAGAGTTAAATAATCCTTTCGAGCAGAGCTGTCGTGTTTCTGACAGAGAGCATCGAACGAGAGTGCCATCGATTGGCAAATGATAACCTTGATTGGGCAGGTCGACCAACAAAGCTGCCAAATGGTCCAGAGAACAAATTCTTTCTCCTTCTTTTTCTACTAGAGTTAAAACTAATTATCTCTTAAGACTTCAAGAGTTGCTTTAATTACATTATTTACTTAATTTTCGAGTCGCGTCACTCTGTGAGTACTGGATTTAATTTCGTGATTATAATTTACACGGTCATATTGAGATAAGGCGGGTTTTAGGTTCATCCATCTGAAATGGATCATCCATCTTGACTGTCTATTGTAAAGTAATGTTATACTTGAGTTTCCAACCCTGTTTTAACGGCGTTTGCGTGTTTTAGGTATTTAGAGACCTAGCCATGAGGACATTCTTATTTCTAGAACGGGATGAGGGGGTATTTTTATAATGGTCTTTAAGCTGTAACACGATTTTTTAATCCCATTTCTTAAACGAACCAACTTGGCTCCGTCAGAATGAGGTACAAAAACACAAGAGGTAGTGTCCCTGACCCTTGAGCCAATGGTTATAGGGCCTATTTCTCCTAGCATCATAAATAACGTAAGCGGACTACTGTTACATAGTGTTTTCATGCCACTCCTCAGTGTGTTACGAACTCGTGACTACAAGATCGAACCCACTTGACACAACTCTGGGCTACAAGCCCATTCTAGATTACTGAAATCCCTGGAATCAACGAAGGGCATAACTGGGAAAAATGCTATCAGAAAGTGACCGGCGCAACTTGACTACTAGAGGAGAACACCGGAGTGGGCTGTTTAGTCAAAGAGGTACCGTTAACATCCAATTTTTACTCTAGGATAAAGGCATAAAAGTGACAAAGCGGCACCCCCACATTTTGACTCAGGCAAAAGTTTTACTCGACTAGAGCTAGAAAACAGGTTCTACGGGATTTCACTTGAGTGATTTAGAGCCCATCGCGCTTAAGCGTTTTTCACTTAAGTGGGGAGCTATAAAGAAGGAAGTTAGACATGGGGGTTGGTTAAGACAAAAGTTGTGGTATGAAATTGTAAGAAAGGGAATTTATTACTGTAACTAAACAATCGGCATCGTCAATTTGGTTGCTAATCAGAGTCATAATTGATTGCAAGAAAGACAAGAAACAGGAGTTAAAACTCAAAGTTAACCTATAGTCAACTCGAGATAAAGTGGGTTGTTTGGCCGGATTTTAGGACTTGTCCCTGGATTTTAAAGACTTGTCCCCGGATTTTAAAGACTTGTCCCTGGATTCCGGTTTGAAAAGCGGAGGCAAAGGAAAAACAAATCGATTGATTGATTTCTGTATGATCTAGAGCGCTTGAGAAGAAAAAGTGACCCGGAAGAGTCGACTAACCAGAGGAGCTGTAGTATTGCTTCAAAATTTACCGAGTTGAGAACAATGTCTGCAATCTAATATACGCTATCCAGTGCACCAAAACCATAGTAATTGAGACAGAAATCTACAGAAAACATGTTAATTTTACCAAAGAAGCATTCATTTTCAGCGGACCGAAATCTTCGAAGGGGGAGTTAACAGCAAAGATCAACGTGGTATAATCTGAGCGACGACATAAAAAGCGCAGTATGTGCGCGAATTGCGCGTTAGCGGATCATGACGTAGCGGATTGCACCTCTTACAAACCAGGTATAAAAAAGCCCGAGTTATGCACCAGATGAGGACGACATGAACAAAAGGGAATAGCACGATTCTACAGTAGCTTGAAAATCAAGATTGGCGCGAGATGTTTTTTCTGTGGCCAGGAACGTTACCTCAGAATGGGTTGTCCTCTGTTTTGGAAACCAGTGAAGAATCAGAATCACCCGAAACACAAGTTCTGCACAAGTTAGCGCAGAACATTAGAAATATACAATCAGAAAATGACTTGCAAAATAAGGACGTAATAAAAGATGAACTGTCGAGGAAATCCGTAAAAGTTGTAACCGAAGAAAAGGAACCCAAAAGAATAGAAGCAAAAGGAACAGTGGGGAGAAATTACAAGAAAGCAGCAGCAAATGCAAAAAACAAGGTAAAACAAGATGTTGCAACAAAGGAAGCTGGACAGGGGCTGAGACAGGAAATTGAAAATCATTAAAGAGGAGATTTTTTGTCAGGAGTAAGAATCAAACCTGTGTTGAGGGACACTCTCAGGATCAAGAGCAAATGCAATAACTTGAAAAAGGAAAACGGGAAGCCGTTCGGTATCACGAAGATTGGAGCGAGAAAAATGTCATTAATCACCGTAGATGGTCACGAAGTAATGAGGAACCTGATTAAACCAAGTGACCAAACACTAATACATATAGATGTATATGTGGAATATTTGCGCGCTTTTAGTACTCAAACCCCGTCGAAAGCGATCAGAAAATTACTGACATGAGGCGGTGGAAAATTGATAAGAGTAGAGAGCAGAAACACCGAGACGTATGGTCCACACGAGGTCATGCTAAATATAGATGGAATCAACATTTATACAGAGACGATGATGACTTGTGATGATGACCTGACGGGCCAAATCTTCGTGGGTCGAGAGGAGCTCGAAGTGAAATCAATTGGACAGTTCGCCATGCTTGAGGAGGACGCCATACATATGGACACGGAAGCAGACGTGTCCGAACATGTACTGGATATAAACAGAGAGAAGACGCCTTTGAACGGGCTTGTAGATACGGGAGATGTCTTCAGTGGGATATCAGTAGAAACATGGAAACAGATGGCATTTGACAAAGATGACCCGATAGTCTTCAGAATCCGGCCATCAGCAGCGAACAAAGGGGCGCTGAAGGTGCATGCCAGAATACCAATAATTACAATAATTTTGGGGGAACTTAATCCGTGGATGAGCTTCCTGGTAGTGGAAATCTATATGACACAGATCAAGACATTTAGGCCGAAAGTTTATCAAAAATTTTAATGTAACAATATATCTAATATTGCGATGTTCAGGATTCGACACCCGGAAAAGCAGTACGTAACAAAACCGGTGAAAATGATATTGACACAGGAGTGTAAAGCTCTGGTTTTCTTGAGTAGGAGGGTAAAGTTGAAAGCCAATGAGGCTGCAATTGTAAGCTTGAAAATGAAGAACTACAATCAACGCAGTGATAATAAACAGGTATGTGTAGTACCAAAACCAAATGGCCAAACTGCTGCTATTTTAGAAAGATCACTCTCGATCACCAAGAGTGGTCTCTGCGTCAGAGTCTCGTTGAACACTTTTGATACACCAATCACAATCCAGCGAGGGAGCAAATTAGATATGCTTTGCCGTTGAAAACCAGACATGAATTGACTGAAATTGTTAAAAAGTTTGAAGTTCTTGACTGTCCGGATCACAAGGACAAGATTTTATCTTGAGTAGATTGAAGCGAGAAAAACTTTTATCGAGTATCATAACCTCCTTTAAGTCAGAAACAGGTGATGGACTGTCGAGTTGTTGAAATTTTCCAGAAAGACCCACACCCGAGGAGTTGGATATGGACAAACCGATATTACAAGAAATTGCACATTAAAGGGTAAAAATAAGAGACGAACAGCTCGAAGCCAAAAACGATGTGTTAGGCAGGAACCAGGACGTTTTTTCGAAACACAAGGCGGATCTCGGGTGTTGTACTTTTGTGGAACACGAAATTGAATTAGAGAAGTCGGCTGTACCGCACATGGAGGCAGCGAGGCGGATGACTTCCCACAAATCGGATCCCACGAAAAGAAAAAGAAACATAACTAGAATATGACATGATAGAACCATCTAAATCACCGTGGGCGTGTGGAGTACGATTGGCCAAAAATAGAGAAGATCAACTGAGATTTTGTTGTGACTTTCAATACCTGAACTCCGTCACTGCGAAGGATGCTTATCCCATCTCCCGAGAATAGATCAAAATTTGGGGATGCAAAGTATTTTACAACTCTTGATCTGGGATCGGCTTTTTGGCAGGTACCACCTAGATAACAAGATAGAGAGGAAACAGGGTTTGCTTGCGAGCTGGGACTGTTTCAATAGAAAAGGATGCCGTTCGGCCTTTGCAACGCAACAGCCACCTTCCAGAGATTGATGTCACAAGCACTAACAAGAAAAACAAAGAAATACGGAAACTTGGTAATGCGTTACGTGGATGATTGGATGATAGCGACACCAACCCTTGAAGATCAAATCGAGCGACAAGATGTGTTTGCATTTTTGAAAAGGGCAGGATTGAAATGCAAGCCCTCAAAATGCGAAGCTTGAAGAACTCGATGAAATATTTCGAAAGGATGATGGACAAGCATGGTATCAGACCAGATCCAGACGCAGTTGAGGCAGTCCTTACAGGGAAGTCGCCAAAGACAGAGAACCAGTTGATGAGCTTTCTTGGTTTCGCGAATTAGTATAGAGAATTCATCAAAGGATACGCGGATAAGGTATACCTGATGCAACAACTCATGAGAAACAAAGGCAAAAAATTTACGTGGAACAACGCAGCAAAGAAATCCTTTCAGAGAATAAAACGAGTTGTGTGAGGCTCCGGTATTGGGCATGCCAACAATGAATGGCATAAACGTCCTAGATACAGATGCCTCAGTGGTCGCGATTTCTGT